GTGTTTTAGTTATATTGTAATTATTTAACAAAAGAAGTATAAAGAATTGAGCATCTTTCTGTAAATGTGAACAAAGTAAAGAGATAGAAGATAGATAATTATGTTGAAGATATAGTATTTTCTTATTCTTTAGATGACTTTCACAATCATTTTAGAAAATTTAATCTTTCCTAATCTTTCCATAAAGTTTTTATAAGCAGTCACTTTGACTTTTTTATTTTCACAGCATAATATCACATTATACATATAAGCATCCATTTTGCTTTACACATGCTTTACAAATGCTTTACAAATGAAAAAGTTGCTTTATCTTTGCTGCAGTGTGCCCTTGTAGCAAATGTTTAGAAATGATTTGCTACATGATACAGCTTAATTTAGAAAAGCTTTGCTGTGTAGCAATCGAGCAGTGCTGCATAAAGAAATGAGGCCTGTACTTCAGGGTTAAAATATAGGAATATAGGCTTTGATTTTAGTAGCATCCTGTATATTATACTTTTCCTGTTAACAATAGAGTCATGCAGTCATCTATTTAAATCCATTCTGGAAAACAATTTTTGAATTGAAATAACACGAAATCTGGTCCAAACTGAAAGTTCATTAACCTTAACAAAATATTAGAAAAAAAAAAAAACAATTTAATGATGTTTTTATGATTAAAGTTCCATTTTATAAAAGTACTTTTATTTAAATTTTTACAAAATATCTCTAAAGAAAAATATGACAGAACAATTTTTAAATGATAAGCTATATTGTAACAATAATGGAGATAAATTTTTTGATTATTATAAATAGATAAGACAAGACAAAAAAATAACATTTTGAAAATATGAATAAATGACTGTCAAAGGAAGGTAAATTAATTTTCGTTTTCTTTACATGAAAAACACATTATTAATGCAACTGTTTTTATCATCAGTATAAATATATATTTTTTAATTCAGTGAAATTCTGTTGATTGACATCATCAGGACTGACATGGTGCCAATTTATCGAATATGCTGCCTTATTGAATGGCAGAAGTTTTTTTGATCCCCGGACACAATTTCAGATATCTTCACATGTAAAACTGTACAAATCCATCTGATTATTTAACATGTCATTTCAATTTTTTCCAGGCTATTCGTACCCTTGGTTTGCTTGAAACAAGAACACTATTCTTACTTTGTGTTTTGTACACTTTTATTATGTATATATACAGACAAACAGTAGTTTCATTATCAAAGTACAGGTACATGAACAATAATGTACTGTAGCTGTTTCTGTGATAATTATTGATTCCAACTGTGCTAAATATTTCTGCTTCTTATATCAAACCTATGCACTAATGTTATTGGAAAAGATTTTAGAAAAATTTTTTGATTTTTTTGAAAGAACTAACTATTTTTATCTAATACAACATGTTTTGGTTTTTTCTGTTTTCACAATGTTTATATTGGAAGTTGTCAATGATGATGGTAAAGAACAATGCTTAACTTTCTGATGTGTCCTCACAAACATGTCTCTAATATCCACTCACTCACACAACTGTTACTTTTTTGTGTAAAAATGATTAAACACAATATGAAGGTCACGCATTGTAATGTTTCAAATTCAACAAATTTTGTAATGAATTCAGGGACTTGCTGCCTGTTTACTGTTGTTTTCCATTTAGTTCCTCCTCATCTTCTATATCTCGTGGCTTTTGTGGATTAACAATACTTTCAATGATTGCAGCATCTGTCATAGTTTCCACAACAGATTCTTCTGAGTCCACATTTAGAAATTTGCAATTGCATTCTGCTTTAGGATACTTTCAAGAATGTTGCTAACAGATATTCCATCAAATGCAGAGATGTATTCCTCAGCAAACATTTCTGGATCTGTAACTCCAGGCCATAGTTTTTTCCACAAATTTTGCAGAGTGGACTCCTTCACACTGTTCTACACCAAGGCAGCAGCATGAACAGTGTCCATTATGTTGAATTGTTTCTGAAATTCAACAACTCTGCAATCACTGTTTACCAACTTCTGAAGAAAATACCTCCTGTATATCACTTTAAAATTCTGTATGACATCCTGATCATAGGTTGTATCAAAGACGTCACATTTACAGGAAAGTACATTACAGAAATGTTTCTGCAAACAATCTCAAAAGCTGGAGGATGAGCATGACAGTTGTCAAGCATAAGAATAGCTTTGCTATCTTCTGGTAGCCCCTCTTTTTCAAAATTTTCTCTAACACCAGGAATAAAGTGTTGGAAGAATTATTGAAGATAGTTGCTGACATCCAACTGTTAGTTTGTGCATTGTATTTGACTGGTAGATTTGTCATGTTTTTAAAGGCCCTTGGTTTCTTTGATTTTCTGATCATAAGCATCAGCATTATGCATTCCAGAAGCATTTAATACAATCTTTGTTCATTTTAAATCTATAAGAAACTTTTTCATTGCCACCAACCAGTGTAGAATTTGGTAAACATGCCACAAAAGTCTGGTTTCATCTGAATTGAAAAATTGAGATGGTGACAAGTCATTTTCTTCCACTAAAGTCTCAAACATCTTGCTGTATTCATCTGTGGCAGCATAATCTGCAAAAAGCTGTTCACCACTTACATCCAATTTACAAATTCCAATGAAATTGTAATGTTGAAATAGAAATAAGGGCCAGAATCATTCCAAACAGAATTTTTTTGCCAAGTGTCATAAAAAAAATTAGAAAAACAAAATATTTATATTACTAAGAGCATGTTTTGCAAAATCATCAAAAATGTTGGCAAACAAAAAAATTGAATTGTGCACTAAGCCAAAAACTACAAAAACTAGTTACAGGACCTAATTACCTGAATCAAAGAGCTATTGCAAAAGCAAGTAAAATATCAGTAGAGAATGTGAATAATAATAATAATAATAATCACAAAGATTTGGACTTAATTACCAGGGAAAATATGAACGGACATAGGCTAATCCTGAATACTGAAAATTGGAAGAGAAGTATAAGGAAGTTGTATGAAAACTGTTTGGCTAGTAATAGGGCAGACTACATGGTTTCTATAGATGAGGTTTACATCTATCAATACTTAAGCTACTGCAAAGGAAGAAAAAGATACTATATGCTAAACAAAAAGAAAATATTCATGTTGAATGGTTGGTCCATTGCAGTGAAAGATGGCCATAAGGATTCATGATCATAGGGAAAATGATTTTGTTTGGAACTCTGATCAGTAGAAGAGTTCCAAACAAAAACGTTAAAGTGAATGCAGAATACTACATAGAGAAGGTATTAAAACCATACTTAAAAAGAGAAGTCCCATTTCCATATCCTGGTGAGCTTCACAAAGTCATATTTTATCATGAGGTGGCATCCAGCCATACAGCCAACTTCATGACTGCTTATCTTGAAAAGCTGAAAGCCTCAACTGGCACAGACTATATTGCAAAAAGGGACATATGTGTGAAGTTCTCTGATATATTGCTGATGGATTTCTATGGCTTGTTTTTTAAAACAATATCTTTTTCTTAGAAAAGCCAATATGGTGGAAGACTTCAAAAAAGTTTGCAAGGATGTGAGGACCCAACCGAGGTCCGAATCATGTAAATTGCGATATTCCTATGTTTAAACAATAACGATAGATTAAAAATGAGAGGGGGAGGAAAATACCATAACTTAAACAACGTGGCACAAAATGTAGGCAACGAGTCTCGGATGACTCGAACATGTGTTAAACTAACTGTCAATGTCAGAGTGAAAAGTTATAAGTCAGAGACAAGTGGTCAGATGCAGGTAGAACTTTGACCCCCGCGCTCATAAACAGTCAATCTAGGGAAACAATTTCTGAAAAGAGGGAAAGATTTAAGAAAGATAAATCATTGCATATGATCGTTCAAGTACCCAGATGACAGAAATCGCGAGTAACGGAGTTAAATTATGAGCGCGAGTCTTGCAATTTTGTCAACAATCCCCAAGAACAATCGACAGAAAGGCGTTGAGCGGACACCTGGAATCGGACCTTTCCCATGACCCGAGTCGGTCTCGATTTTCCCCAAAACAAAAGAGAGACCAATCGGGAAGCGAGGAAGGGGACGAGGGGCCAATCGGAAGTCCGAATAGTGGAAAGAAAAAACTATAAAAATCCGAAATCCGAGGTCAGAGAGGGCTCTCCTCCGACTCCACGAAAGGTAGTGACTTCTCTTGTAGTGTGTCGTCGCAAAGAACTGTGGACTCCGCCGCTTATATCTTCCGATCATCCGCCGTGATCAGCAACAGCATCTCGTCCGCCCCGGGGCTACGACCGACGCCGAAGTTCTCACACTCCGCATCTTCAAGGGAAGAATCTAGTGAAGAACTGTCGATTGTCGATGTAAGCATAAATGTTAACAAATAAACGGCTTTTTTGTGTAAAACACTTGTTATCATTTGCCTCCTCCATCACAGCCCACATACAACCTTCCCTAAGGTTCATCCTGATGCGGGGTTAATAGCTCCCACCTAGGAGACGGCAACCTTACACATGTGCCGTGAAGTGGGTTTCAAGCCCCCTATTTCCCCCGAGTCGGCCATCTTACAAGGATAAGTGGTACAAAGTTACACAGGAAAAATGCATGGAATTCTTTAATGCTTGGAAAAAGAGGTGCAGAACTGTTGTAGACTTCATGGGCAGCACATCAAACAGACAAGGGCTGGTCATCACCAAGTTTTGAGGGACAAAAACTAAGAAGCTAATTGTCTCAAATTTGTGCGAACACTTTCTGTAAAATGTCAGTTTCAAATTTATACAATTATAATCAAACTGGTCACTTTAATTAACAATTATAAAATCTTTTATTAAATTTTCCCTATAAAGATGCTGAAAAAGTTTTTATATAAATTATAAAATATATTTTCTGAAATATAAACATATAAATTCTGTAATGTCTTTTATAGAAATTGTATAATTGCTTTGATAAAAGCAATTATTGCAGTTAAACTAGAGATTTAGCAAAAGCTTATGAAATTTACAAAAAATATATATTTATTTAGGCACATTTCTTCAATTGTAATTCTGAACATTAAATATTTTGATATTTATTTCATTATATATTACAGATTTAAAATTTCTATTTTAACTGCAGTCAGGAGATTTGTACAAATTTCATTCATCTGCAACAAATGATAAAAGTTCTTTAGGTTTATTTGTCCAATCATTAAAGCATTGACATTTCAAACTAGTCCAACAGTTCTGATATTCTTTTGCAGCCATTTTATAATCATAATAGGTAATAAGTTCTTTATTTCTGTAAATTTATAAACAGTTATAGATAATTTAAAATGTTTTGTGAATTAAATAAACATTTACCTCATTTGTTGATTTAATTTATGACTTGTATGATTTTTTAAAATAGAAATAAACTGTCGAAATAATTCTTTCTTGCAAATGCTAAGCCTGTAATTAAAATAATAATTAAATTATAATATATATAAATATTGAATGTTTGCTTAGACTACAAACTAATAATTATTAAAAATCTTAATTGACAAATTTATATATACACCAGTAGTCTACCATGGCTATTGTTTCTTTTCGGTAATCCAGTTTTAGGTAAAGAGATTATTATAGCTGTCTATTTGTTTTAAAAAGTTCTTTTTTCAAAATACTTCATGTAACTTAGTTATAATTTTTCCAGTTTTAACTAAGTCCTAAATTCAAGAAAATTGCTCATTTTTACCACAGCTGTAAGGACATATAATTGCCTCTGCAAAATAGAAATTATCATGGTGTGTTCAAAGTTTCTAGTCCTATTCACTTTCTGTACTTCTTAAACATCAAACTCGACAAATGTAGAAATTATCATACAGGATATGTGCTTAAAAAAGCATGGCAAAATTAACTTTCTTTGAATTGTTATTTTTGAATGCATTTCAGGTCTAAACCCCTCTTCAACAAGTTTTTAAAAAGTTTGTCAAGCTGTTGACAGTTCTTTAAAAATGCCCTGAGTAAAGTCACAAGGAAAATAGATATATTTTTAATTTAATAAAAGTGTAAAAAGTAAAATATGTCAAAATATCAATATATTTTATTTTTTAGTTTTAATTTTTTATATATAAAATCTATAACTTTGACTTCATCCAAGGAAAATTTGATTTTCTTTTATATTTTAGTTTTTTAAAAATTTAATATCATATATTTAGTGTTCAGCATAAGCCTTTTATTGGTTAATAATAAACTAAAAATATTTTTTTTTCTTGTGACTTTACTCAGGACCAGTTTTTTAAAGAATAGTCAGCAGCTGAGAGGCTTACATCTGAAATATATTCAAAAAATGACAATTCAAAGTAACCAGTTTTGTCATGCTCTTTTAAACAGATAAAAGTTTCATGTTAGAAGTTTATTTTATAAAGTTGAACCAATCATATTTGTTTCTTTATTGATGTTATGCACCCAACAAGAACACATTTGGTGTTTATCAGTCATATTGTTTTTGCTTCAGTACATGTGTTTGTAATCTTGCTTTTAGTTATTGTCTGTTAATTATTTAATTGTTAATGTGATGATATAATCTTCAATATCTTCAGAAAAAAACAAAGCAAAAACTTCAGTGACCTTTATGTTTGTTACATTTATACAACATAATGGGCTTGGATGCAAAAACATCATTTAATGTGTATGTGTTTATAATTATAACATCAGGTAAATATAATGTAAAATATGTCATTCACAAACTCTGTAATTATATATTTATAGACTATTTCATTTAATTTGTAATATTAGTTAGTTTTTTCAAATTTTGTATTTTCAAGTAACAATTGAAGGGCAGATTTTACAAATAAGTAACATTTCAAGCCTAACTCTATTTGTCTTATGAAAATTTTCAGTCTAACTTATGAAAATTATATTATTTTAAATTATATATAAAATTTTTAAAAAAATTCCATTTATTTGAAATAAGTATTTTAAATGAAAGTTATAATCTCAAATATCCTCTACAAAGAATATCAAATGTATTGAGTACTGTATGGAAAATGAGCTAACATTTTTATTACAAAATAATGAACTGAATTGATGAGAAACATGGTATAAAGGAACAGGAAATTTTCTGAAATTTCAGAAGAAATTTTAATATTCTTATGCAAACTAAATCATACCTATACTATTTATAAAATTAGCATTATAATACTATTATGAATGTGCTACTACATGTATATCAATATCCCAAAGCATGATGTATTGATAAGAAACCAAATGAGTGCCATAATTAATCGGGCTATCATTATGCTATAATCAATAATTAGAAACCAAGTACTGTAATTTGATACTAGAGGTAGACATTAGGTGCCATATGTCTACCTCAAGTAACAAATTATTTAGTTTCTAATTATTGTATTAATTATAGTGATCATTTGGCTTAGTGCTACTACACTATTGAAAACTAAAATTAACAAAAATTTCATTCTGAATTTTGAAAAAGTAGTATTACTGTAAGTATAAAATTGAAATGTGATATATATATTTTACTAAGTATTACCTGGCTATTGGTTTTTTCTGGCATTTTATTGTAACTCCTTGTCTTAATCCATTAACTGCAACTTCTAATGGTTTATTTGATACATCTGTCCATATAACTGCTATAAAACATGTTATTGTTATGTGATTTAATGTTGATAATTTCGTATTAATAAATTATAATTATAATTATGTAATGATCTAATAAAATTGATAAATATTTATAATAATCATACTTTCAATGCAGCAATAAATTTAATACTTTTGATTTCAATTCATAGGATTTGAGTTTAATTTGTTTTTCTTTTATATGTCTTTCTCAGAGTAAATTAGTTTTAAAAATTAACTATTTTTATAATTCAATTACACTTTTAACAATTAAAATAATGTTTACATCCCTTTAATCAATATTTATTCAAGATTTAATTTTATTATTATCTATACTCTATTAATATGACTTTCAGTTTAACTTTTATAAATCCTTAAACCAATATCTGCTGTTATTCTTTCCAGATTATTTTCCATCTTTGCTTAAAATAGTTTTGTCCCTAAACAATAGCTCTCTTCAAACATTATAGCTGTGCCTAAAAAGGACAAACTCTTTCTATTTCATCTGCAATGTTTAAAGTTTTTCGAAATTTGTTTATACTGTAGAATATATTTAACAATTTCATCTAAATTAATATCAATTCAGCACTATGACCTATAGAATCATTCCACCACCATCAACCTTTTGGAAACTATATCAATAATCCTTCAGAATTTTGAAAGTAAACAATTTGTCTTTATAATTTATGTAGATATTAGCCAAGCCTTCGATTTTGTAATTCCCAATCTCCTTCTCTCAATACTCAGAGATTACTTCAAAATTGATCCTGCTTTTCAATCCTGGCCTAATAATTACTACCTCCTTTGTACCTGTAAAATTAAACTTGGCAATTTCAAATTTTTGGATTTCTCTCCCTTTTGCAATATACAGCATGGTTCCACTTTAAGCAGCCTATTTTTTTCAGCATATTTAAACAATATACTTAGTCATATTACTTTGCCTATATTATCCTATTCTGATAATATTAAATTGATTAACCATGACCCTTATGTCCTTCAGTCTAATCTACTTTGTTTATCTTCCCTTTTAGAAAAAGCTAACCTAAAAATTTTAAAAAACTGTAGTCATGTGTTTTTCACTCATTCATAATCCTTAGTTGCCCACATTCTATATTTACAATAATTCCATAAAATATGTTAATTCTTATGACCTTGGAGTCATTTTTGATCCTAAACTTACTTTCAAAGGGCATGTTTAATTATTATCTCTCTAAATTTCTATTAAATCTCTGGCTATTCATAATGGAATTCTTTGGTGTTTTGCAAAACTATTTTCTCTAAAACAGTCTTATATTCCATTTATTTTGCCAACATTCAGTCTCTACTTGATTACTGTCTGCCAATATGGGCTATGGCTGCCTCTTCCCAATTACAAAAAATATTAAAAGAGTTAGATAAAATATTTCTAATTCTAAATAAACTCTCTAATCTTCCTTTTACCCCTAAAGCTAATGTCACTAGGTCCAGACTCGGAATTTCCAGTTTATTGAACATATCAAATACTTTGACCATTTACTTTTATACAAATGCTTCCATTTGTTCTGATTGGCTGTGCCTAAGAGTTCCACCATGAGTTTGGTCATAACAGGGGTGTCGTTTCCACTATGGAAAGTATGGAAGACTCCATACCTCACATTTTTGCAAGTATGATATTTCATACCTCAGAATATTGAAAAAATTATTTATAATTTAATGCAAGGCAAGCCAAGGCACTTGCTCTCTGTATGAAAACAAATTTTTTCCTTGGATGTTAACCAATTGAACTCTTACATAATCCAAAGTATCAAAATTTTTCTAACTCTAAGCAATGAATCACCATTTTGTGAAAGCAGGGTCTTGCTTTCACAAAATTCCATACCTCGACTTTTAAAGAACCCATGCTCATAACCAAACTTCTTTTTTTACCCCCATCTTTTAGGCTTTCCATTTCTTTCAGATCATTTTTCTATCAGTCTGTTCAGAATATGGGCTGTGTGAAACAATCTCTACATGAAGATTTTCTACATTTTAAACACATTTGTGAACAGTTACTTTATAATATATATTCGTTTTTATTTATGCTTATTTTTTTATTATATATATTGATTATTATCCTTTTTTATTTGTATTTTAATCTTTTGTTATGGGCATTATTTTTGGGGGAGGATATCAATGTCTTGTGACATTTCCTTTTGTATATGCAATTAATAAAAGAAACTAAATCTTTCAAAATATTACAGCAAATATATTAAAGCAACAAAATTAATTTATTGAATATAAAAACAATGAAACAGACTTCTGGAACTTTGTAAAACTTTATAGTAAAAATATTTTCATATTTTCTATATACCTAATTAATAATATAAAAGCCATCATGCGTGTGTTTGTGAATTCTCAATAACTCCTGCTATTTTTGTCCAATCTAAATGAAATTTTAGTCAATTTATTTTATGTTCTAACATAAAGTATAGGCTATTTAATTTATGAAAATATTAGCTATAAAAAAGTTTTATCAATTTCAGCTCAGTGACATCACTTACCTTAAGTTATATTTTTAAAAAATTTGGTAAATAGTGTAATTTTAAATTTACTTTATTAAATTTAAAATAATAGTCACACCATGTTGCTTTGTTTAAAGTTTAAAATATATTTTCAAATTGTTNAATCTACAACGAATAATTTATAATTCTTTTACCTGCCTGTTTTAACCATTCCTGTTCAAAATGTTTTTTATACCAAGACTTTGGAAGAATGGGAGGTTTAATCCATTCAAATTCTGTGCATTCTGTAAAATAAATCAGTATTGTGTTAAAAGTTATAATACTTTTAGTAAACACGATTTATACGAAACTTACCAACGTACGCCAAAACGCATAATAATATCCACGAGAATAAAATAAAATTGTTCATTTTCCAAAAATATTATTAATAAACTATTTTATATTGGGAGAAAAAATTACCAGAAGGTGAAGGCATTACTGCATTACATTCACTTTCCAATCTTTGACGACTATATTTAAATTGTAAATTTGATTGCAACAAAATTGGAACAGATTTATAATAATTTCCAGACTGAAGATTTAAATTGTTTGTTCTTTCTACAATTGCTTCATATAATGCTTCTCTACTAAATGGACACCTGCAAGTTTTTTGAAGGAAATATGAAATTCTTTTATTTGATAAAAGTTATATTTTGAGTATATTCCAAATTATATATAATATTAATCACCTTCCTATGATAATAGTTGAAAGATATATTGGTTTACAAAGAAAATGTGATATTAGAGCTCCTTGTAATCCGCAAACATTCCATTTAGCAATTTTATCACTGCAAGACATTGAAAGAGTTGGATCCCCACGACCAGGCTTTGTCCTCAATCTTCCCAAGATATGATAATTAATCCCTTCACCTTTTGGATCTTGAAGTCCATCAGAAACACATTTAGCACCTGTTCTAAAGATACAAAATAATTTTGTTTATAGCTCAAAATATTCCTTATGGTATTCTTTACAAATACTAGTTGAATACATTGAATATAGCTAAATAAAAAAGTTTATTAAATGATTCATAAAAATCTGATTAATTCTAAATAATTATTTAGAATAATTGAAATTGTTATTCATCTCTTGTTTACTTCAACAAATTGATAACTTACTATAAATGTCTCTGAATGAAATAAATTTAAAATTTTTAAGTATACTTAAAATTAACATTAAAAAAATGTTTTAGATAAAACTTTATTATTCTTTAATAAAGAATCCAAAATAGAAAAATAGGAGAGTTCCATTTCATGTGCTAAAGTTACTTCCACTCCCTGCCTCCTTATCAGGGCTCCCACCTCATAAAAAGGGGCAGGGGTGGCTTAATTTTTGTGAAACTGAAAGTGTCCCTTAAAAATAAAAAACTTTCATAATTTTTTAATTGGATGCATATTTTATGAGATATTCATCAGGGACATTATCTGAAATATATGTATTTTAAAAAAAGGATGTGTATTAGTTAGCTCTTTACTCTTTACTAAATGTCTTAAAGAAAAAGCCAATGGAAAAAGGCGTATCGGCACGTGAATAAACAGTGATGTTAAAGATTCCCAGGTGTTTACCTATGCACTCAGTAGTGAAGTAAAAAATAATTAAAAGTAGACACAGTTTCAGAATAAGTCAATTAAAATATATTATTGCACATTAATTATGTTCTGATGAACAGTATCAGCTACTTAATTAATTTGTAGAAATATTAGCCAGTCTTCTTGAAATCCCTATTCTTCTCAATTCTTCAATCTCTATTTTCTCACAGAAAGTAGTCCTTCATGTTTGACAGAAAATTTCTAGTTTTTATATATTATACATTTAAGATTAAAATTAACTCCTTTTAAGAAGGTAAATTTTGCAAGTTTAAATTGACATAAATGTTAATCAGTTATGAAAGAGCTATCTGAAGATTTAATTTAATTTGAAATGATTTTTATCTAATGTAACTAATGAAAGCATTAAATTTATTACAAGAAAAACATATATCTAAAAATTAGATTCTCACCTATAAATATCAATTTTACTTTTTAAATTATCATCACTTGTGCTTCCTTCGATATTTATATCTTCAATTTTTATTGATGAATTATTATTTTCAACTTCTGATTTCAATTTTTTAGAATATAGTGGTTCAATATCAGATGTTTCACATTTCCTCTTTTGAAAATCCTTCAGACAGTTTGTTAAATTATCTGGTATATTGCTATCTTTAAGAAATATTGAAGCATCCCCACCTTTAAATCAAATAAATAAATAAATAAATATATTTATTGATAATATTTGTAAATATTAGATTATTGTAATTTCCTGCAAATAACTTGTGGGTTTAAAAGTCAATTTGAAAGAAAATGCAGTTATGCACCAATGAGTAATTTGTTGATTATAAAATACAATTATAAGCAGGGCCAGCCCTAAGAATCTTGCTGCCTGTACAATTCCATACCTTGCATCCCCAGCCCAACCTCAAATTAATATTTGAAATTTTAAAAATAATTATGTTAAACAAGTTTTTTCTTGTCCCAAAGCTTGCCATTCCATGAAAATGTACATGTTGCATTGTCAGTTCAGCTGGCTCTGATTATAAGCTCACTCAACAGCTTTTTCTTTCTCTAAATTATCAAGAGTATCTTTAAAAGGTAGGAAAATCCTTTATGTTTTACATGTATTCATCTGCCATCATTATTTTTTCCAGAAATGATCAAAGAAACATATACATGTCTCATCTTTAGTTCTTTCCTGTTTTACATCAATCTAAGTTTTAATTGATATTATTAGACACTAACTTGTACATATTTTGAACTTGATAAATTTCCAATAATTTCTTCTTTTTACATAATAATCTCAGAAACTATTTAGAAACAGACTGTTGATTTCAACTTATAAGAGTTAAATAATCAACTCTCAAATCCATGTTATTGACTATTGTAGTCTATGTGCAATTTAGCAAAATCAATAATGATGTTAATGGAAATTACTTTATGAATAATTTACTTTATATCTGTTAAGGCAATTATTCATGCCAAAAATAACATCTACATTGCTACAGTATTTTGGACTCTTCTTGATCCAAGGTAAATCATCAAACGTCAAGTATACTACAGATATTATTGGCATTAAAATTTTTTTTTTTTTTTTTGAATGTTGAAAATTTGGATCAGTGTTCAACTGATAATAAAAAAAGTCCTATAAAAATAATATTAAACCTGACCTGCAGTTTAAAAAAACTGTAGACCTATAAATTTCCACTGTTGTCTGTCCATCTTTCCTTAATCTCAAGAATGGAGTTAGATAGATGAAATCTGAGACCAGATATGGAAACCTTAGAGGCAGGAAGCCCCAGATAACTATATATGAACTTCTGATGCAAACCAGAAATCACATTGTTTCAATTCAAAACTTTTTCCCTGAAAGCAGTTAATAGATGATTCTATTCTTAAAGGAAAAGTATGATGTACGGAAGCAAGCCACAACTAATTTGAAATGGAGAGCATATATTTTAAATTAAATAAATTAAAAGTATGATTAAAAATTGCAGTCTGGCATTGATGATTTCAAAATAAATAATTGCTCATTACTATCATTATTGTTATTTAATAAACAGAAATGAGAGGTATTTTTTTTTGTTGATTTTTAAACAGAAATGAAATGAAACAATAACAAATTTTGTCATTCAGTGCCATTTTGTATTTTCAACATAATGTAATTTAAATACTTTTATCTCAAATAGAGCATTTTTTTCTGTTTTGGTTATTTTATAACTATATCTACAATATAACAAAAAAAAAAAAAACACAATATCTAAGATGATATCTTTCAACTGCATACAGGTTAAGTGGCACTTTCAATAACTTCAGAAATGTGACTTATGCAGCCTTTTTATTTTTATTCTAGAAATTTTCTGAAGAATTCAAGCTTATATGAGTTATATGCAGATTACAATATACAAATATTCTGTATCATTTTTGTGAGTAAAAACTACAATTATTACAAATTCTTCAAAGACTTGCTTGTTATAGATGAATGGCAAATAGCAAATTTTTAACATATTTCATCCATATTTTTAAAAACAGATGTTTGATATAAGAATTTACTAAAAATATTTTAATAATTAAAACAATATTATATAATTAATATATTTAATTTAATAAATACATATTATGTATTGTATTTGGAAATTTTACATTATGTTTAAATATTAATCAAAAAAAGCTGATAAAATAAATGAAATATTTGTAGTTTACAGTTATTTGTAATTAGTTATTTGTAGTTTACAGTTATTTGTAGTTATAGATTTTATTTGATATTTTTAAAAATCATAACCAAGAAGTCAAGGCCTACAACTAACCTAATATCTAAAACCAAAACTATATAAATAAGAAACTTAGCAGAAAAAGTAAAAAAATAATAATAATTTTAGAAAGAAAAAATGTTTTTAAAATATGATTAATGTATATTGTGTATAATGTATATAATGTATTGAGGGTAATTTTACTTGAATTAGATTGGTATTAATAATTGTTATACATTTTATTATATTTCATATCCGTAATCAAAATTAATATAATCCAAAATATAATTTTAACGTGTTATAATCGGTTTAACAGAAAAAATATTCTATTCTAAAAGTATTGCATGCATACATAATCCATTATACATATTTTATTACAAAATTTTATATAATACAATACTTACAAGGTGTATGACAGCATCCCCACCTTTAAATCAAATAAATAAATAAATAAATATATTTNGATTGCTTTCCTTCTAATAATAATTTTATTTGATGGTATAAATACCTAAAATTAAATTTAGAAAATTAAACATTTAAAATTTTTATTATTAAAATTCTTGTATGTATAATAATAATATAAAAACCTCAGAAATGCTCTTCTGGTTAATATTTCAGCATGGCTATCATTCACAACATTACCTAAAATTTAAAATACAATATATATATTATTATATATGTATACATTTGTTTTTCTGAAAAAATACATAAAAAGTAACTTATTTGAATACTACTTTGAAGTTAGAGCTTACATAACTTAAATATCAGAGAAGTTTTTATTTATTTATTTTAGCTACATTAGGAAAAGTTTGATTGAGACTTTTTGATATATATTCCATATCAAAGTTATATATTTATTTTATTTTATTTTATAAATATTTCTTCTCTTCATTCTATGATGCTTGATCTTATTATTCACCATATAGTAAACCTCATTATTTTGATATCGAATAATTCTAAGTATTGTGAAGTCAAGTCTAGTTCCCGACCAAGAAAATTGGATTTTGCATATATTTTATTTCAGATAATTTGAAATATGCATACAATGAAATTCAAAGTCATTATCTGGTCCAGTGACCCACAAAAATATTGTTTAATTCAAAATCTTTCATCATATTATGTATTTATAAAGAAAGTTTCCATGTTCAAGTAACAGTTTTGTTTTTGGTATTACCAATTACACATTGTTGATTTATTGGGCAGCCATTCAAGGTCATTTGGACATTATCCACATTGCCAATGCCTGAGAATTTTTTAATTTTTTTCTTTATGAAATAAAACTATTTGGCATTTAATTATTTTGGATGGTTTTTGGAATTATTGAAACAATAGATTTTTGCAAAGTCCATTAAATACATGTACTGTACATATTCACAATAGAATGAGTACATAGCTATAGTTGTTATAGCTTAGTTTCATCAGATTACATGATTTCATAATTTTGAACTCAAGACAGTGAATTCTTCATAGAACTATCCATTGGTCCTCTGGATGAAATTTGCAAATAATTCTTATTAAAGCACTTAAGCTTGTTTTGTACATTACTTTCAGGTCTTGCTTTGGATGCAGTTTTATTGTTTTCATTAAGTATATGCCAACTAATGGTTTTTTGAAATAGCTTACATTTCTAATAATAACTTGTAATATTAACACATTTGTAACCAAATAGGTGAAATTATATAAGGTAATGTCATAATTTTATTTGAGAATTACAAAAAAAAAATTTGATTTGAAAAAGTTCAGATAATTTGAACCCAGATAATTCAAAGTGTTTTTTTTTTTTGGTCCCTTGAGTTTCAAAATAACAAGCTTTTACTGTAATCCACAGAGATATTGACTGCAAAACTGTTACCATAGGGTATGTTCATAAAGTCAAATGAGTTAAATGAGAATGATGTCATCATTATTCTTACTTTCGTTAGACATTTTGACCAATTCGTTTACAACAAAATGATTGTTTATAAAATCAAAGATATGAATGTTGCTAGTGCAGTCTTATTTGAAAAATTTTTCTTAGATTGCTTCAGATGGACAGTTATTTTTATCATTTCACCTTTTAATCCACAATTTAAACACTTGAGTAGATTTAGAAACATTGATATTGCAGGGTGCCATTTTCTTAAGGAAGTAAACTCTTTCCTTTGTGAATTTTGAATTTTGTTAGGATTTCATTTGAGATGTCACCAACATTGAGCATGAGTACCAAATGAAATTTGTACATTATGACTGACTTGTTAGTACTGTGTTTAACTCATTCAACTTCACAAATATATCCGTAGATCATTTAAATTTCATTAAAAGTTTTTTATACATTCTTAATCATAAAGAACAATTTATTTAAATAATAATTACCATCTGGACTTAAATCTTTAGCTCCTAAACATTTGGATCCTGTTGCCAATGCAATAACGTGCGGTTTTCTTCTTGATAAATCTGTTATTTAAGGATTCATTTAGAATAAAATTGTCGTATTACAATGTAAAATGTCTCAAAATTAACATTTTATAAATAAAGTTTTCTCATTAAAAATAATTCATATTAAGTAAGCACATTTTACCATTTTCTGAATCAAACGTAATCAGAATTGCTGCTAATAAAGTCCATTCTTTTCCATTTCTAGGTTTCCCTGTTTTAGGTAATTTTTCATAATGTTCATAACAAGTCTGAGCTACGATATCAGCGAACTCTTTATTATTCATTATTAAGTGTTAAGTTAGATGAATTCAATTTAATGCAATATTTAAAAATTCACTAATACTTTTACTCAAAAATTACAAAATAAGTAAATAAAAAGTAACGTTTTATATACTTTCACATTAAAACAATAATCTGTATTTCTACTCTACCCACATGTAAACACTATGAACACGTGGATCGCGATACACTATCAGCGCCCTCTGAATTTTGTTTTTCTGAAACAGATACGTACTTGAATAATTTTTTTTAAAATATTAGGATTTAAAATAATGTGCTAAAACTCTGATCAAATGTATAGAGTTAGACAAATTTTTAATTGCATTTAATTCATTTTAGGTAAATATTTTAAATAAAAATTGTTACAATGATATTTTCACATTTGAAAATATCAAACTTGACAATCATATTACGTTATAATATATTTAAAATATTGTTGTTAAAATTTAATGTAGCCCTTAACATGGAATTTATTTACTGAATATGAGAAGACAGATGTTCAAATATTTTCAGTTTATAAATCTAGCTATCGACAAAAGAAGAATATTCTTTTGATAGCACTAATTTATTTTTACAGAATTTTATTAATAATTTAAGAAAAGGCAAAATAGTAAATATGGGGCTTTTTCAATCAAAAGTAAATCATAGTATTTTTAAAATTACAAGTTAAAATTTTATAAGTAAAAATGAGTAAAAATGTCTCAGATTATATACTAATTGGCGAGATTTTATTGCTTTATTTTAGGAATCAGATGATGAGTTTTCACTAGATTTTCCAAAAAAATTTTTAAGCAAGGTAACGTTTTCGTTCTTTATATTTTTCTAAAAATAATAATTGAAAATAAAGAAACCATTTAAATTTTGATAGATTGTAATTTTCTCTGAATCGAACGAAGATTGCAAAAAAGTTAAACATGTAAAAAGTTCTATATCTTACATTACATTAAAAACTTACCATCAACAGAAACAGAGAAATGTGGAAGAGTTCGCAGCACATGTGAAATTTTATGTTTTGTTTAATGATAGAAAACCAGAGAAAATGCAGCAAACAATATATTCGAAGAAAGTGCATATGTTCAAAACTAGTAGCCAATCAGATGTAGGAGTAAATGAAAAAACAGTAAATAATCATTGGATAAATGTTTCCCGTTCTTATGATTCTAAAACAGAGGAAGAAACCGAAATTTCAGAAGATGAAAGTAATTATAATTCAAGAACGTACAGAGTCTATCGAAAGCAATATCAAAAACCTGTTTTGGAAAGAAAGCCAAATGAATTAAATTATCCTTTAATAATTTACAAAAAGTCCGCTTCAAGAATGTGTGGTAAAGAAAATAATATCAGTACAATTTCTTCAATTAAAATGTATATAATTAATAAAATTTTAAAGTTAAATATTAAAAGTATTTTTATATAATTATAGAATCTCGTGAAGATTCTCCAGCTTCAAAAAGAAAGACTCCAAAGAAACAAATCACAGCTTTCTCAAGTTTTGAATCTGTTGCTTATGATAATGGTAAATTTCATAATATTGGAAGTGAAGGTCGAACATTATGCGATTCTGGAACTGAAGTGACTGAGAGTGCTGTTGAGAGTGATAGACCCATTTGGTTCGAAGGAACATTTAAAAACATAAGTCAGAAGAAAAATAATAACAATAAAAAGGCATAAAATTATGAAACATAACATGTCGTCAATAAACAAATCTAAAAGATAAATAAAATCATTTATTTTATGTATTTTCATTTTTACTCTTTATACATTATAGATTTACTTTGAATAATTCTGGCGATATTTTAAATAAAATATTGAAAATTCAATTGTCCATGTTCATCATATTTATTAATTTAAACAACATACCGATAATTGTTTATTTTGTTTTGTATTAGCCGGTGATGCTTGGCTTATCTAAATATCAATGTCATCGAACAGATTCCAAAATTACACGTGGTTTTGTTAAACGTTAGTACTCATAGTAGTTACTGTAGTGACTATATAGGCTACATTAAAAGATATTTTGATACTATATAAACATAGACGACGTCGTCGTTTCGTTACATTATTGTTTATAACATCAAAGATGACGACAATTTCCTCTATAGCGATTTTGCTACATTGTATGATTATAGGCCTACAATAACGTATAAATGGACTATCTATATTCATGCCGTTCTTATCCCGAACAGTTTGTAGATATCTATCCTTTTCGAATGCTTGAGCTGAGGCAGTTCTATCACAGAGTGTAGTAGTCACCTACGACAAGGTTCTCTGATTCATCTCTAAGGAGATAGAATTCTGTGCTTACTACATCGGGCTAATTGTAGGGTTTTAGAAGAACCCTACAATTTCCTCACTCCCTAGAAATGAAAAAGACGCCATCAAGAGGAAATAGAGTCTCGACCGAAACAACTTGAAAGGTTAAAAATCTACAAAGTCTTCGGGAAAAGAACGGTAGTTAACTTCAAGGAGACAGACTCTATTTCGTCAGACTGGAGAGCATATAAAGTCATAAGTAAAGGTTTCTTATTCCAATAGTAAGACTAGTAATAATATTTATCACGTCTTTCTTAATTATCCACAACTAACAGAGACCCAGATTAAAACAGTTCTCTTTATTTCGCATATTTAAGAATGCATTTCGGATTGGTAATTTTCTAATCCCTAGTCGGGCTCACGGCTTCAGCGTTTAAAGTTGTTGTCTACAACACAACGAACAAAAGGTTTGTTCATCTTAATATACTTTTGTTATCTACAATGATGGATATAGTGCACAATTTGTACAAATGGTATAGTTTCTACATATCAGTCTCTTGCGCTTGCTGGCATGTTTTCTTTGTCTATTTCTGATGGGCAAATGGAACGCTTCTTCTATTTCTCACAATTATTAACTCCATATTACCTTTTAGAAGGATTTTAACTTCAATATTGTGGTTCATAATATAACAAAGGTCAAAATGTGGTTTTTCATTGTAAATATTTTCATAAGTTGAAACCAAAGTTTTCACAAATAAACTTAACTAGGAGAAATTATTTATTGTGATATCGTCACAATGCCGGGCTACAATTTATAATCATATTTTTAAATAATTTAATTTAAAATATATGTTCACCGCAAATTATTAGTTGCTTGCCCTTATACATCTTACTTTTCCTTTAACAATAGAGTCGTGATGGTCGTCTATCTAACACCTTTCAGAGGAAAAATTTTGAATTAAAATAACGTGACTTCTGGTTTTCATCATAAGTTCTTATATAGTAAAGGTGGGCCTCTTGCCCATAAGGTTTCCATATCTGATCTCGGATTTCATTTATCTAATTCCGTTCTCGAGATTAAGAAAAAACAGACGGACGAACGAACGAACGACAGTGGGAATTTATAGGTTTACAATTTTTTTTTCAAATTGCAGCCCAATTAACTTGTTTTGAAATTTTCAAATTGTAAATGAACTTTTAAACGGTTTTTACAAACGTTATTTTAATTTTCAGTTGATTTTAATTTTAGTTTTAGTTTGTTTTAATGTGAATGCAGGAGTTTTGATTATTATTTTTAGTTTTAATTTATTTAGTATTATTTATTTAATTTTGCATTAATTTAGGCCGCATTTTTTAATTCTTAACTACAATTGTTTTAATTAATTGCGACTTTTTATCGATCTCTTTCTCTCTCGCGTTCGTTTTCCCCCTTTATCGCGGCGGCTCCGCCGCCGTCACGTGACATCTCTCGTCTCCAAACCGCTCCGGTGTCGAGGCTGGCAGTCGGAAAACAGGAAATGCCGCCATGACAGTCCACATATATGGACGTTAACCCGCGCGTCGGTTTTCCCCGTTTATCGCGGCGGCTGCAGGCGCTCGCGTCGTCACGTGACATCTCTCGTCTCCAAACCGCTCCGGTGTCGAGGCTGGCAGTCGGAAAACAGGAAGTGCCGCCATGACAGTCCACGCATGTGAACTTTAACCATTTTTTATTTAAATATTATATAATATTTCTAAACAAATCAGCCTAAAAAATTATATAGTTGTCTAAAGAGAACCAAGGCTTCATTAATTAAAAATACGAACGAATTGACATCTATTTTGCAAATTAATTAATTAATAATAATGAAAATGATGATGCAGAACAACGGGATAAATCTCCGAGAGCTGAAACAATAAAATTGAGTGCCGACTCGCCGAGTCATTTTAGGGTTTCATTTAATGAATCAGTTCATTCGCGATCTACTCCTAGTCTATTCGCGAAACAGCTGATAAACTTATTGATATCGTATGAGTAAAAGGGAGGGTGACATCATTGCTTACCTCGAGCTAACACACCCACGCTTATGAAAGTTTGTTGTTTATAGTAGAATTTATGATATATAGCACATTTAGCTATATACAAATCGTATATTTCATATATTCGAATTTAATAGATGTTTGTGTTGGTAAGTTTATTTAATGTATATATATAGTGTAGTAACAGTAGAAATTCATATTTAGCATAAATAGTGTCATTTTTCAAAAATATAATTAAATTAAAAAATGAAACTATATGTAATGCAGATATATAATATAAAATATGATAGCAAAAATAAACAAATAAATTATATCTGTTCAGCAATTATATAATCCTAATAAAATGCATGTCCAAATACTTTACCATCAATAAATATCTACTTGATATATGGAGAATAATCATTTTCACACAAAGTATAAACAAATAAAAAATTTATCATTGATATAAAAATTTGTATCTATTATTATATCAATCATTTAAATTTAAGATATTCAGATGTAGTGTTTAACTAAGACAGAACAGCTTCATTTTAAGCTGTGGTTCGAAATCCGAATGAAGGCTTGATCGTCACAAAGTATGGAACTTGCATTCCCCAAAAAAGTCTTTAACCATTGACTGGAAAAAGAATCGCCTGAAATTGTTGTGATCATGGGTTGTAGGTTTATGTTGACTCTGAGTCCTGGTTTGGCCAAACTGCTTTTCATCACTAATTTTGCCACTGATATAACAGAGTTAATTTAAAAAGGAAAATACTATGATAATTTAAATTGTAAGTCTGCAATTCAAATATAGAAACAAAGTACAGTAGAATCTTTTTAATGAATAATGAATATTGTTTTCAGTTATTAAATGTTTTGGAATTAGTAAATTGCAAAACTTGTAAGTTAAAACACACTATAAAAACTTTTGCTTATTATAATCATACTTTTAGTTATATTGATAATCTTCAGATAAATAGGCAAAAACGTGTTTTATTATTATTTTTATCAATATGTGACCAGTAATGGACAATTATCAGTTATTGTTATCTGTCTTAACCAATGCTTTAAGCTTTAAAGACTTCATTTTAATTGTAATTTATATGCGGTATAGTATAAATAGTATAAATTATTGACACTTTTTACTTCAATAATATGTTACCTGATGCTAAAGACAGTTCTGAAAAAACTAACAAGCCAATAACACTAGATAAATTACTATTAATAATAATAATAATAATTACAGTTGATAAAATTTCTTGTTTAAAGGAACATAATGCTAAGAAGTCATTCTCTTCCACAGCCCTGGCAGTTTTGCCTTTTTGTCAGTCTTTTCCACAGCATGACAGTTTTGGCAGGTAAACCTGGACAGTTTTGTCAAGATTTGTTGGGAAGGTCACCAAGCATATGATAAACAAGCACTGCCTTAGACATGTCAAGACCCTCAAAATCTATAAATCAATGCATAAGGGAAACATTGTCAACTAGAAGGATCTAATTATGATATTGGATTCTTGAAAATCCTAGTTGCAGGTCTAGCAACAAAATGTGACATGTATTTTGTTACTAATTTTTGTTTTTTTTTTTAGTTTTTTGTACATCACAGCAATGTAGCAAATTGTAGAATTTTTTATTTTTTATATTTAAACATGCTCAGTATTTATATACTTTTGTTCTATTTCCATTAGTGTTTGTAAATGTTTGATTTTTGGCATTAACCTGATAAAGATAAATTAAATATGACTGAAACATTATTTTTTTCTAGTTTAATAAACCTTTTTTGTTGCTCTACAAAGTTGTGTATAAATGATTGAGTTATATACTAAAGTAGTTACTTTATGAATTATTTGCAGTTGTTAGGCAAAAAAGAGTACAATAATTCTTTGCTGACAAACAAATCCATTTTATAAACATAAGTATTTTGTAAAATAATCAAATAATAGACTCCTTCAAAATTTTATTAGCATTACTCTTTTATTAATGAATACTATAATTATTGCAAATCATATTAATCAAATTTTTGAAATAATGATTGTAACTTTGATCATATCAAGTGAATTCAATATTTAAAATTAATAAATTAACATATCTTGCAATTTATGTAAACTAATAATTTTGTAAATTATAATATAATAAATTATTAAATTAATAAAAATTTGATTTTTACAGTGTCTGAAATAAATAAACAATAGAAAGAAAATGGGAGACATTAAGACTCAAATATTTTATTTGATTGATGAAGCCATTCGTGTAGACAGTGTAGGTCAAATAGATGTAAGTACATGTACTACAAAGTTGTGAATATATATTTTTTATATTTATGAAACTGGAGGAACATAAAATATTGTTTTAAATTTGTCTTTTTATGATCTAGGTAAATTCAATTAGTTCATGATATACAGGGTGTATCAGAATGATGTTTTAAAAATTTGGGGAATTTAGGGGATGAAATTTTGAATGTTTTGATATAAGGAACCTATAGCTGGAAATTTGAACTAAAGTGTCTACAGCGGTAGGAAGTGCTTGACCGCCCTTCACTTTGGTAGATACCCTTCCGTGCATTGATGTCATGTTATTGCTGCAGATGGAAGACTGTAAACACACAACTATAGTGGTCTAACTGAGCCTGTGTACAGGGCGTTGTGTACTTAGTGCTTGTTGTCCTTCAGGTCACCCCTTGCATCCACTGGCGCTGTGCTGTAAACATACAGCTAGTCAACGTGAGTCTCTTGTGTATGCAACACCTGTAGGAACAGTTCATGAACTTACAGAGTGCATCTTTACAGCATTTAATACCATCAGAGGGGAGCATGGCATCTTACAGAGGTCGGACAAAACATGGTTCATCATTGCACATTATTTAACGAAGTTGGTGGTCCTCACATTGAACGTTTACTCTAAAGTAGTACAGTTACTGATTCGATATACAGTTTGATTGTATTCTACTGTTTTGTCAATAAAACTTGTCATAAATACTGTAATTTGCTGTTTCATTCAGCATACCGACTGCATAGAACGTGCAAAGTGCTGTAGAAACTTTATATCACATTTCCGGCTATAGATTCCTTATATCAAAATGTTCAGAATTTCATCCTCTACAATCCCCCAAATTTTTAAAATGTCATTTTGATACACCCTGTATAAGAGAGATTTTTAACTAATAGATAATAAAATTATTAAAAAAATGAGTATTTTCTAAATACTGGTTTTATTTGAATAACAGCTGTGGCTACTACAGTAGAGCGTCGATTATCTGACTCAATTGGGGACTCAGGTTGGTTGTATAACTGAAAAAATCGGATAACCGAAAACAATGAAAAAAATACATTATTAATATAGTATATTAGGATATCCCATGTAATTAGTATATCGCTATTAACCAACTTTGCATTGAATTTTCATCGATGTTTAGCCAAACAAATTTTTTTTTTTAAATAATAATTGTTGCTATTGTAGCGTTAAAAATTATTTTAAAATTATTTTATTGCTCACAAAACAAACAACCACTCATAATTAGAAAATTAAGTCTCGTTTAAATACTGGCCTCCCTTCAATGGTTGAGCCGGTGTTGCCAGCTAAAACACGCAAAAATTTAACAAAAATAATATTAAAGTATCCAAGACATAGCCAAATATTGTAGTGCCACATCACTAGCAGACATTTGAAATTTGCCTACTAGAACGGTCAGTTAACCGATGTGACGGTTAATCGGGAGTCGTACAATCGATGCTCTACTGTATTTAAACTACATATTTTTTCTGCAGTTGCTATTCAAGGTTGCTAACTGTTTGAGTGCAATTATTACATCCTTTGCACTTACCCATGTGATGTTCATCTTAATAAAGTATTCAAATATTTATTTATGAAAGTTTGATTTTTAAAGCAAACTATACTTGAAATGGTAACTGGTTACTTTCTATATACAGGAAATCCTTGTTAATTCAAACTTGGATAGTTCAAAATCATGTTAGTTCATAACTGTACTATTTGTCCTGGCTTCAGATATAGAGATTTACATTTTGAAGAATTCAGTTAGTTTGAAATACTGCTACTTTGAAATATGAAGTGAAAATTCTGTCCAAAATGTGATATGCATATGTTAACTCATACATTTAGATCAACATTCACATACTCCATACTTCAGAATTGTTCATGGTCTATTTTCATTTTAATCTAATCAACATGGTTTTGCTTTTACAATAACATATTTTGGGTGTCACCCTAAAATACTACCCCTTTTTTCTTATCTCATAAAATATGGCTTGGTTTCAGGTTTGTAAGATTGGACTAAAAGTAACAGAATGATATATTTGTAGGACTCCATGATACTAGATTTGGTCATCTTACTACTTTTTGGCTGCTTTAAAAATAATTTAGGCAACATTTTTGAGAATTCTGCTTTACTTTTTATAAAACCTATCTAGCAATCTGTGAGGTTCTCATCTGACACGTCAATAAACAAATCTAAAAGATAAATAAAATCATTTATTTTATGTATTTTCATTTTTACTCTTTATACATTATAGATTTACTTTGAATAATTCTGGCGATATTTTAAATAAAATATTGAAAATTCAATTGTCCATGTTCATCATATTTATTAATTTAAACAACATACCGATAATTGTTTATTTTGTTTTGTATTAGCCGGTGATGCTTGGCTTATCTAAATATCAATGTCATCGAACAGATTCCAAAATTACACGTGGTTTTGTTAAACGTTAGTACTCATAGTAGTTACTGTAGTGACTATATAGGCTACATTAAAAGATATTTTGATACTATATAAACATAGACGACGTCGTCGTTTCGTTACATTATTGTTTATAACATCAAAGATGACGACAATTTCCTCTATAGCGATTTTGCTACATTGTATGATTATAGGCCTACAATAACGTATAAATGGACTATCTATATTCATGCCGTTCTTATCCCGAACAGTTTGTAGATATCTATCCTTTTCGAATGCTTGAGCTGAGGCAGTTCTATCACAGAGTGTAGTAGTCACCTACGACAAGGTTCTCTGATTCATCTCTAAGGAGATAGAATTCTGTGCTTACTACATCGGGCTAATTGTAGGGTTTTAGAAGAACCCTACAATTTCCTCACTCCCTAGAAATGAAAAAGACGCCATCAAGAGGAAATAGAGTCTCGACCGAAACAACTTGAAAGGTTAAAAATCTACAAAGTCTTCGGGAAAAGAACGGTAGTTAACTTCAAGGAGACAGACTCTATTTCGTCAGACTGGAGAGCATATAAAGTCATAAGTAAAGGTTTCTTATTCCAATAGTAAGACTAGTAATAATATTTATCACGTCTTTCTTAATTATCCACAACTAACAGAGACCCAGATTAAAACAGTTCTCTTTATTTCGCATATTTAAGAATGCATTTCGGATTGGTAATTTTCTAATCCCTAGTCGGGCTCACGGCTTCAGCGTTTAAAGTTGTTGTCTACAACACAACGAACAAAAGGTTTGTTCATCTTAATATACTTTTGTTATCTACAATGATGGATATAGTGCACAATTTGTACAAATGGTATAGTTTCTACATATCAGTCTCTTGCGCTTGCTGGCATGTTTTCTTTGTCTATTTCTGATGGGCAAATGGAACGCTTCTTCTATTTCTCACAATTATTAACTCCATATTACCTTTTAGAAGGATTTTAACTTCAATATTGTGGTTCATAATATAACAAAGGTCAAAATGTGGTTTTTCATTGTAAATATTTTCATAAGTTGAAACCAAAGTTTTCACAAATAAACTTAACTAGGAGAAATTATTTATTGTGATATCGTCACAATGCCGGGCTACAATTTATAATCATATTTTTAAATAATTTAATTTAAAATATATGTTCACCGCAAATTATTAGTTGCTTGCCCTTATACATCTTACTTTTCCTTTAACAATAGAGTCGTGATGGTCGTCTATCTAACACCTTTCAGAGGAAAAATTTTGAATTAAAATCACGTGATTTCCGGTTTATACCGGGCATATGTATACGGTTAATCGGAGGCTCCCTCTTGCCGTATAGTTTTCATATCTATTCTCCTTTTTCATCTATCTAACTTCATTCTCGAGATTAA